GTGCTGGTCCCTGTTTGCTCTTTATTGCCACCTACTACTACTGCTCTTTTTCTATCTATCATCCGGCTAGTACATCAATCTGCTTCCTGAGAAGAAGCCACTTCCATGGCAACTTCCCTAACTGCAGACCTAGCTTCAGGGAGATAAGAATAATGACATGCGTTATAGAGGCGTAAACTCTACATATAATGTGCAAGTTTCATGTAAATAGAATAATAAATAAAGGCTGTGAAACGAGATCTAGTTGTAAAAGTTGGAGTTGCGTAGCGCGCTCTCAAAGTTTACTCAACCTGCGGTCACTCGTGACTGGTGATTTACGCATTGCGGCCAGCTCGTATGGAGAGCTCGCATGCATCTAGCTGTCAATGCTTTTCTCTTGTTCGTTTGGTAAGTCATATTGCAGTACAAATAGCTAAAAATAGCAAAAATAGCATGTTCTGGGAGATATTGTGTGAGCGCGTCAGCATACATCCTCTCTCCATGAGAGACACGCAGTCACTGACTGCACCACCCTCGTGTCAGACAATAGAGTGTTGCCATTTGTGTGAGTTTATATTCATTTTATGCATAACATGTTATTTTCAACGCTATTACGAAAAATAAGACATCTACAACGTAAGATACAATACCCCACTCAGCGTACTCACGGCGCGAGGACCAGATTCACGAAAGTTGCAGCGGGAAATTTGACTCTAATTACGTTATTTTTCAAGATATCATTAAACGGTTTGGACCACAGTGTTGCCAGAACGTTGTAGTATTTTTCGTAATTTTTCGTAAATATTCCATTTTTCATCGGATTTTCGTTTTCCAAGGGCACTTCAGGGATCTTTTAAAGCATTTCAGCAAATGATAGCTGGGATGTTGTGGTCCCCTCCACAGTAGCCTTCCCATCTCCCTGAGGTACGGTTTGTGTCTGGTATGGCGGAGGAGTCTCCTTTAGGCATCTTATCTCCTCCTTTGCTGCCCTTAAATCATCTTGCAGGTTGGCTACTGTCTCCCTCATTACCCTCAGTCCTTCACTGAATTCCTTCCACATTTGCTGGAATACTTCCTTCATCCAGGCTTCCTGTTCCACCCCATCCTCTGTGTTTGTTCCAGCCGCGATTGTACTTCTGCGTTTGTCACCCCGAGTTCGTGTCCCTGCCATGTATTCCCTATGAGTGAGAGAGAGACAGAGAGAGAGAGGAGAGGAGAGAAGTAGAGGACAGAGAGAGGAGGAGATAGAGAGGGGGAGAGCTACAGTTGGGGGAGATAGAGAGAGAGAGAGAGAGAGAGAGAGAGAGAGAGAGAGAGAGAGAGAGAGAGAGAGAGAGAGAGAGAGAGAGACAGAGAGAGACAGAGAGAGAGAGAGAGAGAGAGAGAGAGAGAGAGAGAGAGAGAGAGAGAGAGAGAGAGAGAGACGTGAGTGTGTGTGTATGGGGGGGAGTTGGAAGTGAGTGGTGATGGTGAGGGTGTGTGGGGCGGATTAGTGCTGGAGGGTTGAGAGGGAGGTTGTGTGTACTCACCTAGTTGTGCTTGCGGGGGTTGAGCTTTAGCTCTTTAGTCCCGCCTCTCAACCGTCAATCAACAGGTGTACAGGTTCCTGAGCCTATTGGGCTCTATAATATCTACAGATGAAACTGTGTATGGAGTCAGCCTCCACCGCATCACTCCCTAATGCATTCAATTTTTCAACCACTCTGACACTAAAAAAGTTCATTCTAATATCTCTGTGGCTCATTTAGGCACTCAGTTTCCACCTGTGTCCTCTAGTGCATGTGCCCCTTGTGTTAAATAGACTGTCTTTATCTACCCTATCAATTCCCTTGAGAATCTTGAATGTGGTGTTCATGTCCTCCCCTAACTCTTCTGTCTTCCAGCGAAGTGAGGTTTAATTCCCGTAGTCTCTCCTCGTAGCTCATACCTCTCAGCTTGGGTACTAGTCTGATGGCAAACCTTTGAACCTTTTCCAGTTTAGTCTTATCCTTGACTAGATATGGACTCCATGCTGGGGCTGCATACTCCAGGATTGGCCTAACATATGTGGTATACAAAGTTCTGAAAGTTTTCTTACACAAGTTTCTGAATGCCGTTCTTATGTTGGCCAGCCTGGCATATGCCGCTGATGTTATCCTCTTGATATGGGCTGCAGGAGACAGGTCTGGTGTGATATCCACCCCCAAGTCTTTTACTTTCTCTAACTCTTGAAGTATTTCATCTCCCAGATGGTACCTTGTATCTGGCCTCCTGCTTCCTTCACCTATCTTCATTTCATTACATTTGCTTGGGTTAAACTCTAACAACCATTTGTTTGACCATTCCTTCAGCTTGTCTAGGTCTTCTTGAAGCCTCAAGCAGTCCTCCTCTGTCTTAATCCTTCTCATAATTTTGGCATTGTCTGCAAACATTGGGAGAAATGAATCTATTCCCTCTGGGATATCATTTACATATATCAGAAACAAGATAGGACCAAGTACAGAGCCCTGTGGGACTCCTATGGTGACTTCACGCCAATCTGAGGTCTCACCCCTCACCGTAACTCTCTGCTTCCTATTGCTCAGGTACTCCTTTATCCACTGGAGCACCTTACCAGCAACACCTGCCTGTCTCTCCAGCTTATGTATCAGCCTCTTATGCGGTACTGTGTCAAAGGCTTTCCGACTATCCAAGAAAATGCAGTCTGCCCAGCCTTCTCTTTCTTGCTTAATCTTTGTCACCTGGTCGTAGAATTCTATTAAGCTAGTCAGTCAAAATTTACCCTCCCTGAACCCATGTTAGCGATTTGCCACGAAGTCCCTTCTCTCCAGATGTATTACTAGGTTTTTTCTCACTATTTTCTCCATCACCTTGCATGGTATACAAGTCAAGGACATTGACCTGTAGTTCAGTGCCTCTTGCCTGTCGCCCTTTTTGTATAATGCGACCACATTCGCAGTCTTCCATATTTCTGGTAGGTCTCCCATCTCCAGTGATTTACTATACACTATGGAGAGTGGCAAGCAAAGTGCCTCTGCACACTCTTTCAATACCCATGGTGAGATCCCGTCTGGACCAACAGCCTTTCTAACATCCAGATCCAGCAGGTGTCTCTTTACCTTATCTCTCGTAATTTCGAACTCTTCCAAGGCCGCCTGGTTTACCTCCCTTTCTCCTAGCACAGTGACCTCACCTTGATCTATTGTGAAGACCTCCTGGAACCTCTTGTTGAGTTCTTCACACACCTCTTTGTCATTCTCTGTATACCTGTCCTCGCCTGTTCTACGTTTCAATACCTGTTCTTTCACTGTTGTTTTCCTTCTGATATGACAGTGGAGTAGCTTTGGTTCGGTCTTGGCTTTGTTTGCTATATCACTTTCATAACTTTTCTCTGCTTCTCTTCTCACCCTGACATATTCATTCCTGGTTCTCTGGTATCTCTCTCTGCTTTCTGGTGTTCTGTTATTCCGGAAGTTCCTCCACGCCCTTTTGTTCAGTTTCTTCGCTTCCATACATACCCTATTATACCATGGATTCTTCTGTTGCTTCTCGGATTTTTCCCTTTGGCACGGGATGAACCTGTTTACTGCCTCCTGACACTTTTGGGTAACATAGTCCATCATACCTTGTACAGACTTATCTCTGACGTCTGTGTCGCATGGTATTTCCCTTAAGAAACTTCTCATCTCTTCATAATTCCCCTTTCGGTATGCCAGCCTTTTGTTTCCTAGTTCTTTTTTGGGGGAGATAATTCCTAGCTCTACCAGGTACTCAAAGTTCAATACACTGTGATCACTCATTCCCAAAGGTGCTTCCATCTTAACTTATATCCCACTCATTTAGGGTAAATATCAAATCAAGCATTGCTGGTTCATCTTTTCTCATTCTTGTTGGTTCTTTGGTGTGCTGGCTTAGAAAGTTTCTGGTTGCCACGTCCAGCAGCTTAGCTCTCCATGTTTCAGGTCCTCCATGCGGGTCTCTGTTCTCCCAAACTATCTTCCCATGGTTGGAGTCTCCCATAATTAGTAGTACAGATCCATTCCTGCTAGCAACAGAAGCTGCTCTCTATTATGTTAATGGTTGTTATGTGCGTGTGTGTGTGTGTGTGTGTGTGCGTGCGTACTCACCTAATTGTGCTTGAGGGGGTTGAGCTCTGGCTCTTTGGTCCCGCCTCTCAACCGTCAATCAACAGGTGTACAGGTTCCTAAGCCTATTGGGCTCTATCATATCTACACTCTAAACTGTGTATGGAGTCAGCCTCCACCGCATAACTTCCTAATGCATTCCATTTGTCAACCACTCTGACACTAAAAAAGTTCTTTCTAATATCTCTGTGGCTCATTTGGGCACTCAGTTTCCACCTGTGGCCCGTAGTGCGTGTGCCCTTTGTGTTAAATAGCCTGTCTTGTGTGTGTGTGTGTGTGTGTGTGTGTGTGTGTGTGTGTGTGTGTGTGTGTGTGTGTGTGTGTGTGTGTGTGTGTGTGTGTTTGTGTGTGTGTAAAAAAATAGTAGTTAGTAACAGTTGATTGATTGACATTTGAGGGGCGGATCGAGAGAGCAGAACTGAACTCCCGAAAGCACAACTAGGCGAATACATCCTGATGTACAATCAAGTCAAAATCCCAAACGTACAAAATATGACCTACTATAAAATTATAACGGGTCAAAAACGCCAAAAATTTTCATGCGTGGATCCTCATCTTGGTTAGTTTCAGGCAATTTGGTCATCATTTTCTGGCCGTTGTGACCACTCCAGAGTACATGGCAACACGCAGCTCAACCACACCAACACGACCGTCTGCATTTTGATGTACAAATCTCCTTAGACAAATAACTCCTGTACTAAAAATAATGGTTGCTTGCAAATTTTATGTGATATCCCGTTTTCTATTGGTGGGTCTTGAGTTAAGTTCGCGCAATTTAAGACGTCAGTTTATTGACGTTGTGAACGCTGGAGAGGACGAACTAACCAGGGACAGCATAACAACAAAGTTCAACATGTCACAGTAAGTATTAGAGATGTGAAGAGGTGATATACTCACGAGGGGCGTGGTGGCGGCGAGCTGTCGGCCGGCCAGCCACCACTGTACCTGGGGCTCTGGGGACGCTCCCACCACACGACACCTGAAGGAGGTCTGCTGGCCCCCGCTCACCCACTCCCCAGGGGCCTCCAGCCTCACCTCCAGCGGCGGCACTGTACGGGGGAAAGAGGGAGAGGGAGGCGTGAATATTATGGTTTACCCTGCTTTGAAAAATTATTTATACAATACCATCTTAAGAGAAAGAAAACAGGCAGAGAAAGAGAGAGGGGCAGAGAAAAAAACGGGCAAGGAAATAGAAAACGACCTAAGGAATTCTGAAACATTATAAGAAATACATAGTCAATAAATAATATGAAGAGAACAATGCCAATAACATAACATTAGAATTCACCGAGAGTAATCACACCAACGTGATGTGTCAGTGTGAAAATCCGTAGGAGCTGTGATAAGGGCTCGAACCTATGTGGTGGGTGTTCCCAGGCACACGCCCTAGTCAGCTAGACCGCAACATGGTATAAGGAGTTCTACTGAACACACAAGGGTTTCCTGAGGCTTCCACTAAAGCCGGACCCCCGTCTGCTGTCATACAGGAATGTTCTACCTCTGACTTGAGTGCGCAGGAACACCCACCGCATAGGTTCGAACCCTCATCACGGCTCCTATGGATTATAACATTGGAATAAAAATGGAAGGCTGTTTTTCTCTCTAGTATATTATTGAAATATAAAAGTTGGCGTCTTTTATATTTTAAAATACTTACTGAAATAGTGATACCCGCTGATATTATTTCATACGATATATTTCATACACAAAGTAGGGACAGGGAAGACGTGTGGGACCGCGCTCCTCGAATAAGTAGTCATTTCCCTGACATCACAGTGATATGGATGAAAATCAGTGGGTAGTGACAGTACAAAGTGTAGCACAATGCATAGACCCTAGCAATTTAGGGGCTGTGTAGGTTTTTGCGAAGTGAACAGCCACAATAGGAGTACAATATATGTGCCACAAGGGAGGAAACTTGGAGCTGGCAGCGGTGTGGTCAACAACAACCTCAGCTGCTACAGATGCTTCATACTCACCTAGTGTGCTCTGGTGGTGGAGCTGGCCGGTAAGAGCCACTAGTCTCAATTAACGGTGTAGTGTGTTTTTTAGTATAACAAGTAGCCTTGGAGATAGTAGTGAAGTTGAGGACTACGGCCATGCGCACCATCTGGACAGGTGGCTCTATTAGAACCAGCTGTCCAGATGGTATGTCGCCACATAGTGATGTAGGGTGATTTTCCCGGATGTTGACTCGTGTCGGACGTGTGTGAGCGTCCGGTGTTTGGTTACGCGGTCTGGGATGATGGGGGGTCATGTTGTGTGGGGTAGGAGAGTATGTGGGGTATGTGGTAGAATAATGAATATGAGGAGTATAATATGTGGATAATAGTAGTTGAATATGTATGGGTGTTTGCCGTAGAGTTAATCCTGTGTGTAGATAATAGTTGATTAATAGATGAGTCTAAGTAAATGCTATGTAGAGGGTGTGTGGAGGTGTGAGGGGTCCTAACATAGCCGGATATGTTGATGGGGTGGGGGAGGGTTGAGGAAGTGGTGAGGGAGGGGTGAGGGGAGCTTCCCCTCGGCGTGAGAGGGTTCGAGGGTCATTGTGGTTTACGGTTTTTTGACAGCCATTATTTTCTTCGAGGTATGCAGCTGTGTTTAGTGATGATCCATGAGGGTAATAGTTCGGCCATACACGGGCAGGAGTGACAGGAGGGTAGGAGAGAGAGAGAGCAGAGTCTCTTAAGATGTAGCAGTTGGCTGAGAAGGTCTGTTTTATGTAACAATACATGTGTGTATAGGTGACAGGCCAGGGCGGATGTGGTCCATTAGCCTTAATCGTTTTCTAAAGTCTGCAGAGTGGTGTGTGTACTGTCCACCGTTCAGTGGCTAACTGAAGAGTATTTTCGAGTAGCTGGTGGGGTCATATCTTCCCATCCCACCCCACTTCCCCTCAGCTCCCCTCATCAGGGACATGTACATGGGTCTGGAGGACTGCTTTGAGAGAGTTTTGACATAGCACACACTCAGCTAAAATGTTTGCATTTTCTCGCTAGTGAAAGAGAGAATATATGCGCTTTATATAAAATTCTTTGCTGAATATTTTAACTTTTTCTCACACAAGCAACCATATTGACGGTGCACAATGAGTGCTAATAGTTCCTCCTACACGGGCAGAAGTGTCGGGGGATCCATTACCCACTGTGGTTTCGTTAAGGAAAGGGAGATGTAGCTACTGTCAGCAGGCCCCACATGTTCCACTTACCATCCCCCATCACGCTGGGGGAAGTGACGGTAATGGGGTGTACCATCTCTCTCTCTCTCTCTCTATCTCTCTCTCTCTCTCTCTCTCTCTCTCTCTCTCTCTCTCTCTCTCTCTCTCTCTCTCTCTCTCTCTCTCTCTCTCTCTCTCTCTCTCTCTCTCTCTCTTCTGACACACGGGACATAGCAAAGAGTGTGTCATTGTTCATTCTCAAAGATGAGCCATGACCTCAACATACAATTCCCATATGACATAATGTAGACATAATGTTATGTCTACATTATGTAGACATAACATAATGTAGCTTCATATTCACTGTGGTAAAACAAACAAATATACATACACATCGCGGTCAGTCCTCGCTATACCTCAAACGCGCCGTTCATTCTCTCTCCCTTAGGTGAGCAATGTTCCCCACATACAAATTCCAAGCAAAGTAAACATATATAAGACTAATGTGGAAAAACATAGTCCTGATACTATTCTTAAATTGACTTGTTCATTATCCCCGAGTTTAAGGCTGTCTCTAACAATGTGGCGTAATGTGGGAAAACAGACTTTCTGCTGCCTAAATAAAAAGCATTTGAAAATGTATGCGTGTCTACTCAATCTCCATCCCCCTCTTCATCCAACACCAAATATTGCTGTGCAGACCTTGTAACACACATCAGCATTAGCGCTCATTTCTTGTAACACACAGTCAATGCATCGTAATGCGGGAAAATAAACTTTCTGCTGCCTAAATAAATAAATAACAACTGAAAATGTATGCAAGTCTAGACAATCTCCTATAGCCCTTACATTCTAAACACAAATAAAATATTAGCACACGCTTGTATCGCATTATATCATCATTACGTAACGTGGAAAACTTCTTTCTGTCTGATGATCAAATAGCATTTTTTAATAAATGATGTCAGCTTGGTCTTATGCCATTAGGACTGTATTACACTGTGCGCAACAGTAGACTTGTAATATCATAGCAAGACAATGTCGCAGAATGTTCAACGTTCAATACTGAAGAAGTGAGCGAGGCACTTAGTAACGTAACGTGGAAATCAACTTTCTGTCTGATGTCCGAATATCGTTATTGAAATGTGAACCCCATTTAGCCAAATACAATATCTCCATTACATCTCATACCATATAAACACTTTCACGCTCTCGGCGCTCAAAAAAAATCAATACCCCAGATGCTTTCGGCACTTCACGCGCCTACGCGGTAAGAAGTTTGGTATCACTGTGTTCACAATGTAACGTCTATAAGAGCATACCGTAACATGCCGCCCAAGCAAAGGAGTCATCAACTTTCTGCAGTCCAAAATGACATTTTGAAATGAAAAGTGAGACCTAGTCCATCTCCATTTTGGTCTCTTACCATAAAATGCTCTGCAACATATTATGAATGTTTAATATAGGTAATTGCCCACCCGCAAGAGTGTGTGAAGTGGAGAGTAGTTAGCCGCGAGCGCACTGGCGAAAACACAATCATGCTTGGAAAGTTTATACGTTTCCTGACCCTACTTTTCTATGTACGTATTTCTTTTTTATACCAATGTGTTCGCAATAAAATTTTCTATAAGATGAACTGTATAACATTTGTACAAAGCATGTGTAAGAGAAGCGCCAAATATAGAACCGTTGCTCAGTATGCGTTCGCGGCAGAAAACGAACGCATTGTTTTCGTTCGTTTGATGTTTGTCATGTTTATACTTGTTGAAACATTTTATAATTTGTATGACAGTGATCGCAGTAAAATTCCCTACACAGACATATACATAACACATACAAATATTTCCCACGTGTTGGATATATCAACGGCTAAAGGGAACCCACTGCCACACGCTCGCCACACCCCCAAACATACTTTGTGTATTTTTTTTTTTACTGTGATATAATATTCATTCTGGTACCAAAAAATTCGCAAATAAATTCTCTACAAAACAAAAGTATCCCCATCCATTTCGGTTAAAAAATGGAATTTATAGAAATATTTTTTCGATGGACGAGAAAAGTAGGCAGTTATGCGGAATCGTAAGAAAAAATGGCGACGAGTTATCTCTAATCTAAAGCGCGAAAGTGTAAATATTAGTGTCTACCAGTTTTAGCCCTCTGTAACACATTGTAACATAACGTGGAAATCAACTTTCTGTCTGATGACCAAATAACATTATTGAAAATGTAAACCATATTTAGCCATTACATCCAAACACAAATAAAATATTAGCGCAGGCCTGTTTAGTTCTTGTAACACATTATATCGTTACGTAACGTAACGTGGAAATCATCTTTCTGTCTGATGACCAAATATAATTTTTTTGTAAATGTGAAGCTTTGTAGATTTAATTTTAAACAAAGGTGTGTCACTACTCCACGAACTAAGAGTGGTGAGTTAGGAAGAATGTCTTTGTGAAATATGCACAGAAGAGTTTGGGGAGACGTCATCACTACCTACAAATTCTAATATTTTTTGTTAACTGTGTGATCACGACATATACCTCATGGTCTCTTGTTACGCCTCTCACTAGTCAATAAACACAATTTTGTATCATTTCTTGACTAAAATAGCACTCTGAAACATCTTTGCACTTTATTTTTTCATTGACACGTCCACAGCCATCAAAGGGAATCTCACTACTGCACGGATGTCGTGTGTGTGTGTGTGTGTGTGTGTGTGTGTGTGTGTGTTAAATAAAAGGTCCTTACATAGCTTATCATTTTCTTTGAGAAACTTATATGTGGTGATCTTATCTCCCGAGTCCACACAAATAACCCACATCCATACTGAGAGAGAGAAAGAGAGAGAGAGAGAGAGAGAGAGAGAGAGAGAGAGAGAGAGAG